GATGCATGTGTGCTTGCAAGTGTGCAAATTAAAGATACAACATAGCACCAGTAAAAATTGGAGAAACCTCACAACCTAATCATTCATCTTAGCCCCACTACAACAAACTAATTCTTATAGAGGTCAAAAGTACCAGATGCTGCTTCAGAGTGCATGAAAATACTGGCTTGGCAAAACCTGAAATGACCACGGTGAATAGAACTGCAGAACTGAAAAGAATCAAAACATGATGTGAACATAGGACCATTTTGGATTAGTTATAGATGCTCATCCAGAAAAAACCATCACAGATTCACAGGCCTGAACCCAATACTAAACTAAACAACTTCCAACTGATAGCACAGACCAAAGCTCTTGCCAGCATTTATTCTCGGCGGGAGTTCAACAAAAGCCACAACATCCCAGCTATATACCTTCTTAACTACAATAATCTAAACTTCCAATTTTTTAGTTTTCAACTAAATTTTACAATCAGACTGTGGCTTTTCAACTCCACCAGGTTCTGCAAATCCGCAAAGGATGGGTAAAACAAAAATAAATAGAAGTTTCAACAGCCAGCAACAGGATGAGTCCGCCACACATGCGCCAATAAGCACATTCAATCAGCAGGAGCCACATGGAAATAACAATCTTGTTTTTCAATTTAAACAAATAGAAGTGTAAGTCAGTCCCCCAATCTCCATGTGAATTCAAAGTAAAAATAAGTTGCAAAGGGCAAATCCATAAAATGCAACAGAATTTGTTGCAGCACAACAAAATGAGATTCTTGTGTATGCTCAGTTATATATGATGAAATATGTATCAGTTCCTGTTCGGTGGTTAAGTTGCAGAGAAACATGTAATTATTTTGAAATCTAAACTCAATACTTACAGAATCATCATGTCGTAAGGATAATCATAGTCATACCTTACCCATGGTTCTCCATAAAAAAACCAGAATAAGAACACTGGTAATATGACACAAGATAATCTTAACAATTAATAAGGAAGCTTTTACCCAAGGGCATTGATTTGACATGAATGTGTACTAGTGCCTGTTAGACAGAGAAACAGCATCATTTCAGTGAAAAGAAACCTTAGAATTGTATTTCATAAATCACGTTTTCTGCACAACCGCTGGCCGTAGTTTACTGAACAAAGCTGCTGCACTACATAGAGCTACATATATGCACATACATTTACATATGTATATTTTTTCTCAGATTGACTGGATGTCTTGACAAGGATCATTCAGTGACTAGCAGATCACTTTATGCTATAAGCTGGAGGAAAAACCAAAAGAAAAATGAAAGCAAAGAAAGAAAGAAAGAGGAGGAGGAAAGGGTCAAAGCCTTTTCTCTTGCCCACATCCCAGACATAAGTCAAATTGACATAACCACGAAAAAGTTCTAGTTTATGTTCAAACTCCAAATACGAATGGAGACCTAAGAGAAATCATAATCTGCCCTTAAAAATCTGTCTCACGTGCGTACCACAGCTGAACAGATGAAGTCAATTACTGTGCTTATGAAAGCAAATGACAGCATGAAAAATTAGGAAGAAAAACTGATAATATTCAATGATCATGGATGAGTACAAATGAGTGGGGCAAGCAAGCTGTCATCAGGCCTGTAGAAATATAGTGATCTTTCAGATGAATGGGAGTCTCCAACTTAGAGGCAGATGTGAAATTTGACAATGCTGGGGTCTCCAGATGTGTAGTGAAACTGTATAGAGTCTGACTGTAAATCACCTTGAAACAGAGGGACAATCACTTTATTTCACCGTGTTTATCTTCATAATAGGGAGCTTATCATGTGGACTTGAAGTCAACAGGGACAGATAAGTGGCTTGCTCAGCATAGGCTGCCATCTAGAGGGAACAACTGCTTATTGATTGCAGCACTACTTGGCCAGGGAGGTTAGCCAGTGCCTCTGGGCCAGGTGAGATAGCCAGCACCTACATCCATCTTGTCTTTACATGGCTAAGTTCAGACCTGCAAGGGCCTACATCCATCTTGTCTTAGAAGGAAACACGACAGTGTGTCCCACTCCATATGGTATTTGAACTCATCTACTGGGTGGGTCTGACACCTCCAATAAGCCGTGCTCAATTTAACCCTTCAGTCAGGTAGGCTAGAATAAAAAAGATGGCTGGTAAGGCATAACAAGCTCAGAAGAGCACTGTTAACAATTTTTTTTTTTTTTTGGAGGGGGGGAGGAAAAAACTTTTTTTCTGCAGAGGGTCTTGGATGGGAATTGAGCATCCCATCTCAGTCTTTGGGCCCCACCCCAAATGGATGAATTCAGTAGCTTTCACATGGAGGTGGGGGGAGGATAATGAAACTGTTCACAATTAGGTAAGCCCCTGAGCTTGCCTTAAACATGCACCTATTTCTCTGTTGTAACTCTTTTAACTGCACTGAATTTTGAAGGGAATCATACACTTTCAGTGTGGGCAACTGAAGCAATGAATAAAAGTGGGATTCTTTCTGTCCCATGCTGTCAAATGTTACTACGAACATGCAAAGCCCTATAAACAATTCTTAGCTTCCTAATCACAGCATGTAATTTCGGGTGGTGTGCACACATCGGGTGCACCAACCCCAATTCCAAGTAAGTGCAAAAAATTACTGCTATTGTACAAAACTGCATGGAAAACCACTGCCACAACCAGTTTCCCATAATAACTAATAAGTTGGACTCTACTCAATTCCCCAACCTAGAGTTGAGGCAGGATAGATTGGGTGGTTCATCAAACTTCAAGGCTGGGATCAGTGAAAGGGTTCCCAACCCCAAACCACGTTGCTGTTCCTAACTGTGGCCTTTGTTAAACTGTTACCACCATTTCATCTAAAAGTTCAAGCTTGAAAAGAGAGAGTTAACTCAACTAATTATTATTTAAACACGCTCCCGTGTAAATAGTCAGTCTTTTTACTCATAAATAGGACAACACGTGGAAACTTTAAACTAGTAGGCAGTGAGACTCAAAGCACAAGACCTTATGCTGGCTTTAATACCACATTAAATTGTTGGCCACCATCTCATTGCTCAAGCCTGGCGACAAAGGGCAAGTTAATTATTTTTATTACTTAATAGCCTCCAAAAAAGAATCCATAGACAATAAGTGGGTGGAAGAAAGGATCTATCCTCAATGCCCAACCCTCAAGACCCCAGAAAAGCAATTAAACCTACACAAATCAAACCATGTCTTTATTATGCCTTAAAAATCTCGCCAACTTATGCATAGATACCTCAGCAGGTGTAAAGCAAATCCTATTTTACCCAGCTAATAACAATATTTAAAAAAAAAAACTACCTTCCCATCATGTCTTGATATCATTAACTAAAAGTAGAAAATCACAGAAAAGCATAGATTGCACTACTTCAAGCCCTCATAAAACACTCTATTCTTCCTTTCTTTCAAATTATCTGTACTGATAATTTAGATATTATATTTTGATTTTGTGCTTTCTTGTTATAGAGATAAATTGGAAAATATCAAGAGAAGAACAATAGTGATGACACTAATTCTAAAGACAATTACTATCTGAAGATATTTCATGCTACAAAGGAGAAAGCCATACAAAACAAGGAATTTTCATTTATCTTACGCAAAATAAAATATAAATTAAAAGAAAGGAATTTTAGATATCAAGGAATTTTTATTTATCTCACGCAAAATAAAATATAAATTAAAAGAAAGGAGACATGGGGAAATGAACTCTTCTGTTTTACAATCTATCCAGTTTTTGTGGATAGGAAGACTAAAATTAACTTTGATAGAGATAATGAAGAAAGATATGATTAATCATGATTTAGACAACATTATGACTTTTGGTAGTGTAAAAATGGATACATAGGATCCATGTGGCTGAGCTCATGTAGTTGGGAAAAGGCTTACTTGAGTCAAGAGAAGTTGAGTACAGAAACATCTTAAAGCACCAGAGCTACCGAGTGAAGGCTCAGATTATGTAACAAAACAAAAGGTTCACATAGTACAAGTCTACAAGCCACAAGTCATTGTATGTGATATTCATGAGCAAATTCATAAGCCATTCTTCATAAGAAAGAAGTCATATTGAGATAGTAGAAGGGATATTATGTGCATTAGCCAAAGGCTTAAGTTACAAAACCTACTCCACATTTTGTAGGCAATAGCACATCTAAACTAATTATATGAGAAAAGTAGAACGCAGCTGAACATAGCAGTGAAATCATTTATTTTATGAGCTTAAAATAGTTTTTTCCCTGAAAGATAAGTTTCATGGTGACATAACTCCAGAGTATCTAATAATTACCACCTCAAGTATATATAATGAAAATGAAAAACCCTTGTACCTGTATACTTTCACTTTTGATTAGCAGAGCCACTTAACGCCTGCAATATGCAGAAGTTGAAACCAATAAATAGTTAATCAGTGCATGCCAATTGATAGTGGCACCAACATCAAATAATTACAAACTTTACAAGGCAAACTTACCAGAGAGTATATAGATGAAAACCGATCAAACAACTTTTACCTTAAATTTAATTAAGTTAGACTTACTTCAATGATACACAAGCAAGAACTATAAAATCATCTCGAATATCCACTGTTGCTTAAGTTACTTGCCAGGAAAATGTGCAAGGGACAAACAAATGGACCATTTATAATCAATTATAATCCAATCACATGGATAACAAAACTCGCAGCTCACTGAAGTATTGTTAGCACTCAGTGAAGAATCCTAAACTCTATTCATTTTTCCAAGCATACAAAATCAGCGAAAAACCAAGAGAATGCGATTGAGAATCCCGGAATCTCTGCGACCAAGACCAAGGCATTGTTTGGGAAGCTGAGAGGGGTTGGCTGGCCCACAACTTCTCAGCTGCAGGGCTGGTCTTGAACATAAAAACAGCATTTCCAAGCAATGTCCCAAACAGCCAGTTATGAACATCCCATAACACTTCTATTGCAAGCCCATCAATCAAGATGGTGTGGTTACCCCTGAACTTCCATCTGAGACGTTTGACCTGCATCACCGTCTTAGTGTCAACCCGATCAGAAGGCACGGTTCACTAACACCGCTGGTGTCACATTCAATAGTGAGGTCGTGGATTGGACCATTATCGTAAAATTGAGTCCTTGCATTGAATATCTTCTTGCCAAAAACGTGCTCTCTCTTGGCAACAAAAACAGCATTAGAGAAAACAGGTGTTGCACCTGTTTTCTTGAAAGCTTCTTTTCTCATGTCCCCAAGAAGAAGAATCATTTGCTTGTTGGAGACAAGTCCCAGATAGAATCCCTCTAATGGTTCGGGCCCAGATCCAAACTTAGCTGAGGAAAGGTCCCAATAGATATCAATTTTACTAGAATCGGCTTCTAAACTTTTGGATCCTTTTCTCTTAGAGAACAACCAGGGTTTTATATCTACCTTACATTGGCATTGATTAGTGTTACCATCAATTCCAACACTGAGGCCTTGACCTATCAAATTCTTACTCCATGTGATAGTAATCAAGCAGGACTGACCACGCAAACGACACTGATAGATACAAGAAACCAAATTCTGAGCAGTTTTATTGGTACTAGATGATGAGAAATCAGCAACTTGAACCCCGTTTTCACTGAAACACGAAGGAAAATCTTTCATGCTGATATCAGAATAGATTTATTCTCCTTTTCTGTTCCTCTCTCAGGTCTACCCGCAAACAGTTGGCGTTCACTTCTACAACCAATATAAATAGGAGTCAAACGATCGAGGAAACAGAACGAGCAAAGAACATTTAGCAAGAGAGAAGACCCATACCTCAACTAATCAGACAAGAATCTCAAGACCCATCTCACAAATGCTATAACAATCGCTGGCAAGGCTCGATCTCGTCAGGCATAGAGTTTCAGATGCATTTCTGCCTAAACCTGTAGCACTGAAAGAATAAGGGGTCCCCCAGATTAGAGACAAAATTGGGGAATGTAGGTAGTAAAAATAATTTAGACAAGGAAGCAGACAAAAAGGAGACTAAACAGAGACTCATTTCACTGTCAATTCCCCACAAGAGACCAGCTCTAAGACTAGTATAAACGTATAATACATACATATACACATAAACCTATACATACCTGCAAAAGATAAAAGATAAAAGATAAAATAATTAAAAAAAGAAGAAAGAAAATAATTAAAGTCCGAGGAAGAGAGATACCTCAAGATGGAGAGAGGAAACACGTTAATTAATCAAATAAAAGAGAAATTAATCAAATGAATAAGAGAGGGGGGCGAATAGGCATCATAGCAACTGGGTATTGCTGGAAAGGCTGGTTTCGAACACAACTCTACGCTGAGAAAAAGAGGAAAAAAGAATCCGTCCTTCGTACCGCCTCTCTCTCTGTCTCTCTTTTATCTTCTCTCTCTGTGACTTTCCTTTAGCTGACAAACCCACGTGCATAATATATCGAACAACGAAGGCAGTCACGCCAGTTCTTCCGAGAGAAACTCTTTGGCAAAGATTCTCCATTCGAAGAAAGGAGTTTATTAACTCTGCAGTTTTTATCAAAGTGAAAAATTTTTGGGTTGAGTTGCGCGGCTTGTCTAAGAAGTTAAAAGGCCTAATCAAACCTCTTTCCTGGGTGGATGTTAAATTGGCATCTTTTAATGTAAACAGTTTTTTTTTTTTTTTTTCCCGAAGCATTTATTGTCCATTCTAGCTGTATTTAAGGTGGGGGAGAGAAGAGAGTAACGAAAGAAAACGGTTTCTGCTGCGGAAAGATTTTCAACTTGTGAAAAATAATTTTGAGTTTTTTAATATACATGTGTTCATTTTTTAAATATAAAATAAAGTGTTTTTAACATTTTCATTGAAGTAACATAAAATAAAATCAAAATTAAATTTTAAAAAGTATATAAAAAGATAGTTTTAGTTATAAATAATAATATTATAATTAAGTATAAATTATTTAGATATTTTTAAAATTCAAAATTAATCTATATTTTTTTAATCTTTTCATTTCTCAAGACGAATTACAAAAATTATACCTCCAACACATATTCTATTATTATTAAAAATTTTGCAATATATTTTATGAATATATTTAATTGTTATTATAATTTTTTTTGTTTTAAATTTTATTCTAATTTTATACAAGTATTTATAAACACTATCCAATATAATGATAAAATATGATCAATTAAAGTAGAATAATAAAATAAGACATGATAATTACGGATGTGATAGACATATATAAATATATTACTTATCCATTTACCAATATACCCTCCTTTTAACTTCCAATATATTTTTTTTAGTAAATACAAAAATTTAAGAATATTATTGGCGTATAAATATAGGTATTTCCTTTTATACATCACACCATTTCCCTACAAAGATAGTATAAATACCATACTTAATAATTATGATAATAATAAGTTTCAAAAAATCCATGCGTAATAATTTTTCCAATTCCAGGGAAATTTAAAAAGAGGGTTTTACCAAAAATAAAAAAATAAATTAAATATGAGAGAGAGAGAGAGAGAGAGCCGAGGGGGCTCATTGAACACGTTCTATTAATGGAACGCACGATGTCACAATTAATCGGGCAAGAAGTGCAGTCTCACTGCTAGCTAGAAGAAAGAAGTATATTAATAACCTTACGAAACCCAATATATTGACAGAAAAAAAAATATTTATTAATTAAATCTCCACCGTCCATTTTGTCCACTTGCCAGCTCATCCTCATCATTGATTCCTCTATCTCCAACCATAATCGTTGTTATCTGAAAAGGGTTTGTTAAATAGGGAGTTGGATTGGATTCCGAAAGTGTAGTTGTCCAATCTGTTTAACCAAAGATTTCCGCTTTCTTTTGCTTTGCATTGTCCTCCCTGTCTTTCTTATCACAGGAATCGCGACCAAGACATCACGTGTGGAGCACGCCCTCTCTGCGTTCCATGAAATCCGCACCCTGTTTGGTAATTTCTGACACGCGCGCGTAGGGCGAGTGAGATGGAAAGGGTGGGATACAGGTAAGGACAGAAAAAAAAATTATGAGATTAGAATGGGTAATTGCTGCTTTACGAGAAGATAAAGACGTGGTCATCACGTGCTTTTGTCCGTGGTTGGTTGGCAACGGCAAGCCGTTACGTTTGCGCTGCTTTTCTTTTAAAAAATTAATTAATTAAATAAGATATTAGAGATGTGGATAAAAATCATGGAATCATTTGTCGTTCTAAAAATGTTATTTTTATTCTTGATAATTCAGGTGTCCATTTTTATTATTTATTTTATAATAAAAATTAAAATTTTTAAAAAATCTTTGAAAAATGTATTTTACTGGTCTTTTTAGGTTAATTTAAGTTTATTTTTATTTAATATTTATGGCATGCTATGAAAAATAGATAAATAGCTAAAAAAGCTTTTTATTTTTATATTTATGCACTATTTTTAAATAATTAAATAAAAATAAAAATTTTAAAATAAATTAAACGCAAAAGGAATTCATTATTTTTATTCCGTACTAAAAAATATAAAATAACACTGTTAAACCAAACCCCCTTCAAAATCGAATGTGTTACTGACAAAATTTTAAAAGCAATATAAATATAAAATATTTCTTTACTGTTTATTTTGTTGAATATATTTTTATTGATTACATTATGTTATTGTTTTTAATATTTGAATAATTTATTATGTTATAATGTATAAAACCATATTAACTTTACCCAGGTGAAACCACCATCTAACTTTCATATGTATGCATGTATGTGTCAAACATCTTGTGTTGAATGTATACTACGAAGGTTTTAAGAATATAAATGTTATGTAATATATCTCAATAAATTAATATTTTGAATGAAAAGTAATATATACATAATAAGTGATGTTTATTATTGTGTGGATCTTAATTTTAACAAGACATTTGGATTTGATTGAGAGAGTATGTCACAAATTGTATATTGAATATATATATATATTTACATATATAAGTGTTTTAAAAAGGTTTTATAGGAAATTTTATTTTTGTAATTGTGTAAATAATAAATATAGGAAATTAAATACAAGAAATTAAATTATATTTTTTTCATTATATGCTAATTTGGTTTAGATTAATTATAAATTTAACTGTACTTAACTACACAGAGATAATCTTAATCTACCTAATAAAAACTGAAAACAGAATAATTTTTTATGCATAGAATTGTATATCAAGTGAGAGTCGGAATGCTAGACTTATTGGACATGGGATGATGATTAGATGACTAAAACAAGTATTTTCTTGTCTCAGTCCAGGCTTGGCTCTCCCTTTTGACTGTGACGGAGATTTGGGTTGGACGGGCTCCCAACACCCCCCCCGCCCCCCCCCACACACTTCGCAAGGCTTGAATGTCAAAATTAGTATATCATCTTATTATTTATTTAAAATTATTTACAAATTACATATTTTTTATTAATGTAATATACATTAAAAGTATTTAATCATTAATTTCATATAACTTCATGTTAAAATTATAATATTTTACATGTAATTAAGAAAAAATTCAAAAATCTCCAACTCACCTCATTCCCAATATTAAATTTTGCAGCTCATCCTGACTAACAATTTTAATATTAATAATTGTTACAATGAAAAAAATACATACATATAAAATTAAGTTAACCAAATTCAAATTATTACCATGCCGAAAGGAAGCTATGGGCATGGAACGAGTGTCCATGGTTTAGGGCCGTGACGATAGTACCACGAATTTTATATTAAATATAATTTAAGAAAGAGATTATCATATAAGTGATAGTACTAAAAGATTGAATTTTCCAAGAATGGAAAATAGCCCCGTGATATTAAGATTTTATTTATTATTTTAGAAACACAACTTATTTAGAAATTGTTCATTACAATAACATCTATTATTGATCAAATGTATATACATGTTGAGTGTAGTTAATATATTTGGTCAAATATATATTTTATAACCTTACTATTTTTAAAAAATTTTAATACCATAGATAGAATAGGATATTGCATAACAAAAAAAAAGATTGGTTTCATAGGATAACTTTCTCATGGTACTAAACCACTTCATACACTCGTATGACGGGTGATTCGCATAATGCACATCAGAATTATCATTTTTTATACTTTGTACCATAGCAAGGCAAATGATTAAAAGGATGTTAGGGTACAAAGTGCAAAAAATGGTAATTTTATGATGCATTTATATATCAGCCCTCATATAACACTTAAAACCTTGCGTTTCAAGTCATCCTTACCCAACCAAAACTCACTCGCACTCACACAAAGAGTATGAACAATAGAAGATAGGAGTTTGCCTTTATTTGTTTACTAAATCTTTAACTAATTTAAGACTTACAAAAGAGTTGACCTACTCACTAACCCCACCCAAGCTTTACACCAGCAATGTCTGCTCAACCTTTTGCCTAATTAAGTTTCACAAGCTGAAGTTGAGCTACTCACTCTCTTCACTCAACTTTAGATAACCAAACCTTTGGAACATTACATTTTATATACCTTCAAGCTTTTAGTAGCCGGGCATTTAATTCTTTAGTTTCAATCTATATATATTTAACTTTCCAATTAACTAGCCAGCCAACTTCAGGATGTAGAAGACCCCATGCTCTAGCTATTGCTATAGTAATTAAACTTGT